AAGCGGATAATCCGCGGATTAGCCGTCCGCGTCCACGACAAATCCGGATTCGGTCCGTCGTCTGAATGCACCATAAACTGCGGCCGCTAGCGTCTGTGTGCAGAAAGGTCGGTGCATCATCGTGAAAATGCGAAAGTACAGGGTCGGTCGTGAGGGCACTCTTCAACATGTCGAAAGCCGATCCACATTCCTGAGACCACTTAAAGGGCATACCGGAAGCAAGTAGCTTATGGAGTGGTGCAGCTATGGAGGCAAAGTTTCGTATGAATCGCTGAAAGTAAGAGGCGAGACCAAGGAAACTTCGCAAATCTTTCCGTTTGTCAGGGCAAGAGAAGCGAAGCACTCGCAGCAGTTTTATCGAGGTCTGGACGAATTCCGTCCTTGCTCACTACATTACCGATGACCTTGATAGATCTGCTGGCGAAATGGCACTTGATGTTAATTTGAAGACCAGCACCTGCAAGACAAGTCAGGACTTCGTCCAAGCATTGCAGATGTTGAGGAAACGTTGATGTAAAGACAACAATGTCATCAAGGTAACATAGGCAAGTCTTCAATTTCAGGCCACGCAACACGGTGTCAATCATGTGCTCAAAAGTCGCGGGCGCATCGCGTAAACCGAACGGCATAACATTTCATTCATATAGGCCGTCCAGGGTTGCAAACGCAGTTTTTTCTTTATCATCTTCGTGCCTGGGGATTCGCCAATAGCCGGAACGCAAGTCGAGGCTCGGAAAGAATTCAGCACCTTGTAAGGAATCAAGGGCGTCGTCGATGCGTGGCATGGTGTATACGTCTTTTCTAGTTATCTTATTGTATGCCCGATGATCGACGCAAAATCATACTGAACCATCTTTTTTACACACCAAAACGATAGGAGACGACCAAGGACTGGTTGAGGGTCGGATTATCTCTCGTTGCAGCATATTGTCTCCGTTTTCCTCAATGATTTTCTGTTCAGCTAGAGAGACGCGGTACGGACAGCGGTGCACAATGGATGTTCCATCGCTCTGAATACGATATGCTGTAGGGGTAGTCTGGCCCAGGGTGGATGAATAGACGTCAAAAGAGTTTGCACACTTTTCCAAGAAACCAAGCAGCTGCTGCTTTTGTAAGTCTGTCAAGTCTCTGCTGATGGCTGCTGTAAAAGCCGAGGAAGCAGCATGATCAGCAGAATGGCCTTTAAAGGAGACAAGGGTAAGAGGCACGACACACACAGGCTCCAGATCAGCAATGCAGGGGTCAATGATGCCCTGCGGCAGTAAAATTTTATCTGGTGTGGTGTTTGTAGCAGTGAGGACAGCCGATCCATTGTTGAAGCGAGCCACACCTGATGTGAGAGCTATGCCTTTATTAAGGCAACAGGGCGACGAGTGACCAAAATGTCACCAGAGTCCACGTCGTTGAACAAAACTGAGACTGATTGCTGTTCGTGTGGTGGTACCTCAATGTCTACAGCAGCGATGAGTCGAAATGGCCTGTAGGTTTCGTCACTGAGCAAGTGGTCTGTGTCAGTAAGATGGACTTCACAATGTGCACAACTAATAGCCGTGGAAGCAGAGCAAAGAAAGTCCCAGCCTAAAATGAGTTGGTGGAAGCACGGTGATAGCACAGCAAATTCTATATGGTGAAGAATGTCGTTGATTGGCACACGGACAGTATAGAGAGTGGAAAGGCGAATCGTTGTTCCCTGGGCTGTAACCAGTGCTTGTCCATCATTAGGCGCCGTGACTTTTCGAAGACGGCCACATAAATCAGCATGAATAATAGAAAACTTAGCCCCACTGTCCACCAAAACATCAATGTCCACTCCCTTAACTGTGACTGAAATCATACAGTAAGGGCGCGCAGGAGGAATTAGAGTCCTGTGTAAGAATGCAGTATATCCTCCAAAAACTGCATTGCTTCGTTTTCCGGACGACGTTCAGAAGCGAGGGAGGCAGACTGAAGCGAAGAAGAGGAGCGACGGTAGGGCAACGGTGAACGGCGTCGGGTTGATCGATGACTACTGCGCAGTTCACCCAATGCTGGCGGAGATGGAGACCGACGCGGTGGTGACGAATAACGGCGGCCCTGGTACAAAGCTTTTCCGGTATAGTCCCGTTCACGTATGTCGTACCCTCAACACTCGTCTTGCTGGCACTTGCGGCAAAAGCGTGAAATGTGACCACAGTAGCTTGTGTTAGATGCACCGGGAGAGAGAGCAGTGAGAGGGCAGATGAGGGCTCAGGCGATGGTGATGGAAAGCTCGTGGGAGGTGCAGCAGCAATTGATGCGTACGTTCGTGGCGGCAATGTCGAGCTGATGGTGCCTGATGGCGCAGCGGCGCCATGCGAGAATGATGGGAGAGTGCGAGCGGCAATGGGCTACAGGTGGGCCATGTGGGTCATGGACGTGAGCTCCTCTCTGATGACATCCCGCAATGACGTTGAAGAAGACTGAATGGGACACATTGAAGGTAGTGCGAATCTCATTGATTGTAATTCTTCGCGTATAATCACTCTTATTGTGTCTCGTAGGTTTGGATCCGCCGTAATACGGGCTGCATCACTGTCCAGTTGTAGGCGCATAATCCCCAAATTCATCAAGGCGCTGACAAATTGTCGCGACGTCAGCAATGATAGCCGGATTCTGGATTGCAAGGGCATTGAATGCGACATATGCAATCTCCTTAAAAAGCTGGCGTACCTTTTCTGACTCTATCATTGATGTATCAACTCGGCGGCAAAGAGCAAGAACATCCTCGATGTAGGATGTACACGACTCCCTGATGTGCTGATTCCAAGCCGCGAGAGCTTTCTTTGCGAGAGCCGAACGAACAGTCGGTGTGCCAAAGACATGGCGAAGCTGCATTTTTGAAAGCTGGCCAGTCGGAGATGTCGATGAGGTGGTTGAAGAACCACGTCTTCGCGACACCCGTGAGGTAGAATAAGACATGAACGAGTTTGTAGGTGTTATCCCACTGGTTAGCAGCGCCAGCACGTTTAAAATCGTACGGCCATTCTTCCACATCTTCCCCACGCACACCAGCGAAGGAATGGGGCTCACCTGGAGGCTGTTAATGACGTGAGAAGGCGTGGCACGCGGTGGCGGAGTGGGAACGGCTGCAGCATCGACATCATCTTGCTGCGACATATTTCCGGACAACTGGCCCAAGCGGCGACCTGAACGTAGCTTCAGGGGATGGAACGGTCTAGATGACGAGGGGGATCGAAAAGCACCCTCCACCACGTATGAAGTTTTGGTTTTGAACACCTTTATTAGGCCCGAGGAACCAGCAGCCGACAGCTACAATGAACGAACCAAGATGATGATCCTACGCAACAACAATGAGGATGCATGACCAATACATGGTAATGATGATAATGTACAGATTAAGAGGATGGGTTTACTAATGCCCACAGGGGCTAAACATAATTACAGAAACTCCTGCGAAAGCAGAAGGTCGACAGCCTTGACAAATCGCGAGAAGGGCTAGCAGCATTGCTATCAATTTTCAGTAAGCAAGACTGAATGATTTGTGGGGTTCAACGTCCCAAAACAATGATATGATTATGAGAGAAGCCGTAGTGGAGGGCTCCGGAAATTTCGACTACCTGTGGTTCTTTAACGTGCACCCAAATCTGAGCACACGGGCCTACAACGTTTCCGCCTCGGCATCACTGCTGGAGGCGGAGACGCTAGGCCAGCGCATGCAAAAAATTGGTGAGGTTTTTGGCGTTAGCGGCTCGCAACTACGGACGTCTCCTGTGTGTGAGGGGTGCGTTCGTGGGAGTCAACATTACGGGTACTTTCCTGCGGAGCCCTTGTGATGGGTCAAACATCGGTGCCGCCGCACTTGCGATACCTTGTATTTGGTGTTATGTTGCTTGACTGTTGTATTGGAATATTGTATAATGTCATTTAGAGTGTCATTGAGTGATGTATTTCGTTAGCAGTTTCAGACACTATGTACACAATTGTGTGCACCGCTCGTTTTTGCTATTTGCAGTAAGGAGAGGCCAAGAAAGAGCAAGATATAGCATACTTGGGATGAATTGAACCTCTTGCATAATAAACTTGTCCTTATTTAACTTCATTTTGCAGTGTACTGATACATATGATCGCTTTTCTGAAGGCACTACCACGTTCGACGAGTTACGCGACGTGCCGCTTCCTGCAAGCAATGGAAAAAGAAGGCTTTTTCTGTGCTCAAAATGGATATAACAGAAAACAAATTTTGCACTATATTCCTAGCCTGAGCTTTCATTCTATTTATGCCAAAATTAGGCATGAATGTCTTTGGGGTAATAGATTTTTAAATACAGCTTAATTAGGATGAGTCACTATAACAGACATAAATTCAACAATTATCTCATCATTCTTGCCGCAAAAGCATATTGAGTGCCTTGAAGTACCATTGCACTGATTTGACACATTTACCGACAGTTCTTCATGGGTGGTGTCAGAAAGGGTTAAGGTGCCGATATTGTCCTTGTAAAAGCAAGTGAATAAAGTGAACATGTGTTGGTTTGCCTGACCGTGTCTATTGTGTCCATGTGTTCTCCTGCAGAGACCCTGCAACGTTCAAAACGAAAAGAAACGGTGCTCAAGGTCATGATGCGAGTTGACAAGAGGACAAAGGCTCTTGCCCCCCTTTTCATTCCCCCCTCTGCACAGATTTTAGAGCACTCATTGGCACAAAAGGAGAAAGTGCTCGAAATATGTCGCAAATCGCTTTTAACTCTGCTCGTGCGTCACAGATTGCAAAAATATTTATGCCGATCGATTTGCGAGGCAACAAACTCATTTTAAGAATCTGCTCAATGATTACACTCAGCAGCTGATTGAGAATTCGTGTGCAGACTGTTAACCACCTGTCTTGACATGGTATAGCCTTGGTCACTTCGGTCAGGAAAGAAGACTACTTTTACGTAAGTCACAGCATGGTGGCGCCTCTCTTGAAGATACAGCACTCACCGGTTTATGTAATCGGCCACTCAAGTAGAGGGTCTCCCAGTCTAGCAGATCCGTGATAAGCCGGTCTGTGCTGATCACCCCGTACTTCATTAGCTGCGATAAGGCACAAAGTTATCAACATAGGCCACAACATCAGCCAAGAAAGCCGTGTACGGATGCCATTGTTATAGACAATCACAACTGCATTAGTCTAGAAAGAAGGGCTTATATAGACATATAGTGTAAATTTTCATGAAAGGTAACACGGGAGCGCGTGGCTCGCACGCTCGGGCGGATCCTTTCAGCGCCGTCAAGTGTGAACGAGAGCAACCACAGCCTCTTTTCGCGTCATCTAGTGGGGGACAAAACGATCAGTCATTGGTGATAGGAAACCGGCGGCAAGATTGCAACCTTCTTTCCCTTCAAGGAGATTACGCAAGACGCCGGGCCAGCGGAGTGACGTCTGCTGCTTTTAAGCTGCGTTTGCCATGCGGGCACTATCTAAACGGGGAAGCTTTGCCGCTTTGCTTTCACGTGCTTGCACTGCGGCGTATTTAGAGCAATTTAAGCGACAACAATGCAGCCAGGTGAACTTTTGTTGGTGGTTTCTGGTTTTGAAATCTCGCATGGAATGTTGTGCGAAATTTTTTCTGTGGAGAATTCCACTTAGCCGAGAACATGTCACCTGTCTTTAGAAAATGTACTGGCATGCGTGCGCTCGAATCTTTAAAATTAGGCATAGTGATTTCCACTGCGGTCGTGATGAGAGCGCGAAATGGTGCTACATAGCAAATAGAAGGAGAAATGACTTTGTCTTGATTGTAAATGTTTTCGTCTATATATTTTGCTGCGAACAAGAAGAATGTTCTGACTCGTTTATTGGCTCATTTCATTTGTTGGCGTTCATTTGTTTTATCTATTTTGAATGCGTAACAGTGTACCAAGCCCTTTGGTTAGAAAGCCTCAGAAAGCTCTTCATTAACCTGCGAAACGCCAACTTGCAGCCGCCGCTGGCCGGTTCTACTGTTTTCTGCGAGTGTAGAAAATATTCGCCGATGCGGGACCCATACTATAACTTAATCCATCAAATTATGTCACACATCTTTTCTTCATTGATTGATTGATATGTGGGGTTTAATGTCCCAGAATCACCATATAATTATGAGAGGTGCCGTAGTGGAGGGCTACGGAAATTTCGACCACCTGGGGTTCTTTAACGTGCACCCGAATCTGAGCACATGGGCCTACAACATTGCCGCCTCCATCAGAAATGCAGCCGCGGCAGCCAGGATTCGATCCCGCGATCTGTGGGTCAGCAGCCGAGTACCTTAGCCATCTTTTCTTCGTGTAACGCACGACTACTGATCTCGGGTTTGAATACGCTGCGAGGAGAACAGGAGAATTTTGAACGGTTGGCTTGACAAGAAATCACGTGGGCAAGCGCAGCTTTGTGAAATTTTTATGTGCGTGTGAAGCGAAAGCTGTAAAAATGGCTCGTGTTCCAATTTAAAAACCTCAAACATTATTGCCTTGAGCATTGCTGGCTGTAGCCAGCAGTATATCGCATCACTTATGAAGAGGCCGCTTAAGACAATCCACAGGATTATCCAAGCCTATAAAAAAGAAGGCCGTGTGAAATACGCTCCACACAGGCGTAGACCACGGGCAACTACCGAGGAGGAAGAGAGGGACGTCATAGCTGTAGCGGCTGCAAACCCTCGGACCACAGTGCCGGAAACCATACAAAACCTGGTACTTAATGTTAGTCAATCAATTGTAAATCTGCGCCTCGCCGAAGCTGGTCTCAAGAAGAGAGCTGCTTGAAAAAAAATGCTGCTTCGGCAAGTGAACCAAAGCAAACATCTTCAGTTTGCCAAGAACCTAGAGGGAGAGGGCTGGACAGCCATCAAGTGGGAGCAAGTGGTTTTCTCGAACGAGAGTTCCTTCACGACCCGGTGGGACCAAAGGCAGCAAGTTTGGCACACCGAAAATTGTTGGTAGGTAACGTTTCTCGTTTAGCTTGATTATACCACTGTAACAAATATAAACAGAACCCCACCTAAGGATGACCCTGATTTTATGAATTGCATACGTCATCTCGTTTTATATAGCACATTAGTGGCAAAGAGAACTGATAAACCACAGTTTTATGACTGAACCACTACTCAACGATATTTTCTTTCATGTCACACTCTTCTGAAGGCGTGTTGTGAGAGGGGAGTATACAGCGAAATATAAAAAGGGGGGGGGGGGGAGTAGTAAAGCTTGCTCACAGTTCATGGGTGAATTTAAAGAAATATTTTACATACCTAAGGCAGATTACAAGGCATGCCGTGGTAATTGCAACTCTCTGATACGCCTTAGCACCCATCTAAATTTGCATAAAAGCGCATCTGGAGTTTCCAGCACCATGAAAAATGCAACTGCTGCGGCAAAAGTTACGTAACAAATAGTAGACTGAAATTGTAGTGAAGATGTCTGATCAAAGTATAATTTTCTACAATTACAGGAAAGAGTATATTCAATGAGTGGCTGCAAATGCCCATTCAGGAGTCTTTGTCTGGGGCCAAATAACCAAGGAAGGCCTGGGCCCACTGATACGAATCGAGGGCAGATTCTCGTCCTCCTCGTACTGCTCCATCTTGGACGACGTGATGGTGCCATACCTTCTAGGCGGGGAATTTCCTGAAGGTGACTACGTCTTCCAGCACAACAATTCACCAGTTCACTCATCGAGAAAGGTGACAAGTTTTTTGCAGGAGCGTGGCATCAATGTTCTGGAGTGGCCTCTGCATTCTCCAGATTTTAATGTCATTGAAAACGTCTGGGGACTTCTGAAAAGTGCGCTAGCGGGTCGCTCCCTACACAGACTCTCGGCGGACAACCTCTGTCTCGTCATTAAGGAGGAATGGGAGACGAAAAGAAACACGTCTATGACCACCGCTCTTTATCAATCCCTACCAGCTAGAAAAGCAGCCATCGTGGCGCCAAGTGGTGACACAACTAAATATTGAAAATTGTCATAATGTGTTATTACTTTTTATATTGATGTCATAATCAAAACGACACTTTTTTAAGTTTCAATAAACTCATTGAATTTTTCACACTTCATGCTCACATCATTAAACTTACTTATAAATATCGATCAAAACATTTACAACCAAGACAAAACCATTTATCCTTCTGTTTGCTATGAAGCACGATTTCGCGCTCTCACCAAGATTCCAGTAGAAATCACTGTGCCTGGTTTTAGAGCGTCGAGCGCACGCATGCCAGTACATTTTCTAGACAGGTGACACATTCTCGGCTAAGTGGGATTCTCCACAAAAAAGCATTTTGCGAAGCATTCGATGCGAGATTTCAAAACCGGAAACCACCAACAAAAGTTCACCTGGCTGCACCACTGTCGCTTAAATTGCTCTAAATACACCGCAGTGTAAGCGCGTGAAAGCAAAGAGGCAAAGCTTCCCCGTTTAGATTGTGCCCGCATCGCACGCGCAGCTTAGTAGCAGCAGACGACACTCCGCTGGCCCGGCATCTTGCACAATCGCCTTGAAGAGAAAAGGAGTTGCAATCTTGCCGCCTCTTTCCTATCACCAAAGACTGATTGTTTTGTTCGCCACTAGATGACGCGAAAAGAGGCTGTGGTTGCTTTCGTTCACGCTTGACGGCGCTGAAAGCAGCCGCTGGAGCGCGCAGACCAGGTGCCGCCGTGTTCCCTTTCATAAAAATTGACACTGTACATGTTGCATGCTCAAATAGTGAAATATGCCAGAGGGAAACATGGAACAAACCACTCACACTCTTTTAAAATCTCGAAAATGAAAGAACAGTGAAACATAAAACATAGCAGTTTGCTTTTTTTTATTTCTCTCTGGCTATCTCATGGCGTAATGGTGACGTAAAAGTGCGAAAAATAGAACAGTGAATGCACAGGACAAAGCATGAACACGCAGGACATACTACTGTGTCCTGCGTGTTCGCTATTCCGTTTCTTTGCTCTGTTTGACCACCGTACTTAAGAACCAACTAGCTTGCCTGAGAACTGCTGTTCATGGTGTCAATCTTCAATGCAGCAGCCTGCTATAACAGCCTCAGTCCAAGCAAAAAAAAAAAAAGAGTTATCATTGCTTCCGATTATAGAGCTAAACGGAAAAAGAATGCGTTATAACCAGAACAAATCAACAAATGTGGCTTGTCTTTGAAGGGAGCCTCATGAAACTTCCGAAAAGAACTTTCCACTGCCGAAGATACGCTCACGGCTTCTCCGCTTACATGCTCAGTTGTCATTTTTTCAATCATTCGACTTTCCTTGTAACAGTGCAGACTCATACTGTGGGCATATTGAGGGGGTCTTCACCCATTATTTGGGCAAGATATTGACACTGCCTACACACCTAGTTTTCGTATTAATATATGCAGGATGTCTCAATCATCACACAGCACAATTTTAAAAAATAGGAACGACATTATGCGAACCAAACCAACTGTATATTGTCCCCAGTATAATGTAGTAACCACAACTAACTTTGCATTAGTGACAATTAGTTAATTAGTCATGATTATATTTGCAACAAAACAAATACTTGCATATTTATCTAAATGTCAATGAGGGAGATGTTCACATGTTGAAACGACATCTGTCTGTACTACCTTGAACAACATACTAATTGCATGCTCATTTTTTTCATGCCGATAAAGAAAGCCCGCAAAATATAAAAAATAACAGGCGACTGCGCTCCCACCTGCAAAAGAAAACAAAAAAATATCTGCCACTTCCCCTCCGAAGAATCTTAGGCAGTCAGGCTGTAATCAGAACAGTGTTATCGAGGAAAACAGTTGGTGATTAGATACGGAAAGCGATAGTGATGCACAATCAAGCAAAAGAAATCCCCGCAAGATTCAGGCCCATGTTGTTGGCCCTTGACCTGCACCCTTTCAGTGTGTGGAACACCGTCTCTGGCAACGGAAAAGAGGCAAAGCAGTTGCTTGCAGTAAGCTTATCCGAGGGCACTGGTTTTTTTCGCCGGTGGGAGCGCAGTCATGTGTTATTTCGCAAGATTTTTTTATTGAGAAGAAAAAACGAGCGCGCAGTTAATACGTAGTTGAAAATAGCACAAACAGATGTCATTTCAACATGCGCATATCTGCCTTATTGACGTTTAGATAAATAGGCAAGTATATTTAGTTGTAATTACGACTAATTCACTATTTTCACTAATGAAAAATTAGACGGTCAGTTTCACAAAGAAGCAACAGTGGTGAAAAAAATTAGTAGTGGCTACTACACTATACCGGGAGCAATATGCACTAGGTTTAATTCGCGTAACGGCGGTCATAATTTTTTAAATCGTACTGTGTGATAATTAGAACACCCTGTATAAGGGCCAGGTTATATGAAAGCGTCGTGTGGGCCCCTCATACATTTATAAGCAGGGTTCTACTGTACCTCTGCATTGAGAGCGCTTCAAGAATTGTCACATTTTATAAGGCTGTGCCACTTCAGACAGTCAGGTGAACATGTCATTCCCTAGTACCATATCCTGTAACACTACAGTGAAAATTAAAGGAGCTTCAAGCCACAAGGTGTCATTGAATGTGCAAGTAAGCTTTTTTAAGTCGAATGCAACTTTCTTCAAAGATTCACAGGTGCTTTTACCAGCATGTTAAGCTTTACACACAAAACTCCCAGGCTCAGAGACACCAGAGTTGTGTAGCTATAAAGGGCATACATTCGGTGAAAAGTGCATGCACTTCAGCAGGAGCAGAGCAGTAACCAGTAATGTGGAAATGTTAAATTAATGAAGAACGTCACCTTGTGAGCAGTTTCACATGCGTATAAGCGGAGTAGAGTAGTGCAAATGCAAAGTGGCTTTAAATTTTAGAAATAGGAGACTGCCAGCAGTTACATATGTGAGGTGAATAATAATTTCAGGATGCCACAGTGTCAACAGGGCTTGTTCTTCAATCCCAATTATTAGGATTACACCGAGTCTAATGGAAAGCCTCTAGTCCCAACTTATTTCTGTTAAGGCAAATGTTTTCACCTAAAGACCTGGTAAAAGCGAGAGCCACCTGAGGCACAAGCATATTCAACAATATCGCTGCTTGGTATATTATTCCTGTCTATATAAGTGACATTTCAGCTAATATTCTTTGCACTGAAAAACTTCTTAATGGACAATGGAGTGACAGGCACATGGAGCTAATTATAGCAGAACTTTCCCAGCATTACTGGTCTGAAATTGCAATGAACTTTGGTATAACAGGCCCTAACTCTTAAAAAAGCAATGTTGATAACTGTTTCAACACAGCTCACAGCAGTGCAGCTTTACTTTGGCGGGCTCAACACAATTCCATAACCAATGTCACATAAGCATGTTTAAACAAATAGCTTGCACTGACATTATTGTGGCCACCGTCATAGAATTACTAGAATGCTGAAAAGCCCTATTAGCAAGACACGTCACAGCACAACAAGATGGCCTTGCTTGAAGATGACTGATAACAGTGGTAATCTGCTCAAGTACAACCATCAAGCTCAAGGTGATGAATTCATGATGACACTGCGTCCAGACGTCACTGTGGCAGCCATCACCAAGTACTAGCACGGCGAACAGATGCATCCGTAGCATTCCGTGAAATCCGCCTACAGGCATAGTGTGTGTAACTCGCTTATACGGCATGATGAAAACACACGCTTCGTATGTGCAGTTCAGTAAACATGAAAAATAGGGGAAAAAAAGAAAAGTAAGATGTGCATGCATGTTTCACTACAATCGTCAGTCCAGCAGCTGCACTTTAACCTCGCGCATTCACTAGGCTTGAAGTAGCCGCAGGGCTGCCTTTAAAACCAGAGTTTCAAGTTTGTGCATTGGAATGATCTGTCTCTACAAGCAATAACACAAGAGCAACAGACATATGGACGAAGTCGCTAAGCAGGCTAGTGCAATCATTAGAAGGGTCCATTGTGGATGCGTTTGCTAGGGCAGTGTTAATGCTGCTTCTACATATTCCTACGCCAACGCCGAGGAGGCGTTGGCATCCACAACGATCATTGCATGAATTTGTCTAGTGACTTGGTCCACGTGCATGTTGCTCTTTTGTCGAACGCACAAATTCACAGCAACGGTTTCAAATGCAGCCCTGCTAGAAGTGGTACAAGCTACTCACCCCGTCATCGTACGGCACAAACGTGTTGTAGTAAACATAGGCGCCAAAGTCCTTCTGCACCTTGTTGACGAGATACGGCCCGCCGTACCTCAAGAAGGAGTAGTGGCGCCAGTTTTCTTTCAAGTTTTCCCTGTGCCAGGACAGCGGATCGTCCACGGCGAGAATCACGTCCAGCATGTTGTTCTGCAAGGCCACAAGGCGTCACATCCAACCCGTTCGATGTCCTCTATAAATACCGCTACTGCGCACTTGATACAAGATTCCGCCTTAATACAAATACAAATGGAAGGCGCACGATCGAATACATACGCATGGTGTACAAATCAGGGCTGCACATCACACTCAACGGGAATGTTCAGACGGGCGTCGCGAAGGGTCATCAGAGTTCAATGAACGAATCACATCATCGCAGTGTGTCGTGTTTTGTTTATGTCACAACAACTAGAGAGCGCGGCGCAGGCAGCTACTGACGAAACGCCTTCCCGGAAGTTATAGGCGCTTCACCAAAGCGTCATCAACGGGCAAGTGAGCTGCAAGGCTCGAGATAACAGATCGAACCCAACAGCAAAAGTTCGTCTGCTAAGCCACACCCGTTAAGCGATACATTCAACAGCACGTTCGCCGAAACGTGCCATTAGACGCAACGCACACAGCTGTTTCCGGCTCCATACGGAAGCGTGACAGCCTCCGGGATAAGGAAACTGCCCGAGCTATTGTTTGAGAGCCGGAAAAAAAGTCGCGATGCGCTGCGAACATGCGATAGGAAGGCATGTGTGCAGTGCGATTGCTTCGAAAACTCTTTAAATTGATCAGCGCAAGAGGTGAACTTACCTTCGTTTGCACGACGCCCTTCTGGGGAAACGCGGCCGAGCCATAGCAGAAGGCAAACGAGAATTTCCCTGGGAATATACTCAACATTCTCGACCATGACGCTGGGTCGACAACTTTTGCGGACGCCGCCATGTTGAGGCGCGAATCGCGGCCCTCTAGCGGCGCCAGTTCGCAGCCTGTGCAAGGTGAAATCACGAGTGGCTCGGAGGAGCTTTTGATTTCTCGCTTGGGACGACCTCTCTTCCTCACCATAAGTGCGGCGATGAAGAAGACAATAGCGGACGCGAGTCTATCGAGAATTGCGGCGAAATGCATCGACTTCGAACGGGGAGCCAGAGGTCACGCTGTCGCGTCGCATTGTGACGAATGTTACCGTGATTGAGCGTAATGTCCGCCGAGGTGGGGCTGGCCGCAGATCAACGATGCTGGTTGACGCATATCCGCCAGACTAAACGCTTATCGGTGCGCGACACTTTCGAGCGGCTGACGCCTTGCAGTATGTCCAAGTATGTCTGTCTGATAAGTGACAGCCCTCCTCGTTCATACACGTGCGTGCACTAGTTCTCGCCTAAACGAGGAATGAGTGTGGCGAGGCGGCACGTGCAAGATCGTGGGAAATCGAACACACACACACACACACATGTGGTTTCTTTCATACATAGCTGAAAGTCGATTAGCTGAACAGGGTGAGGTTGTATTTACATTTGTTACGTACAGTACGCTTAATGCTGTATCTGGTTCTGAAAAAGAACTTTGTGAATACTAAACAAACTTGTAACTTTTTGTTCTTCTTGGGCATCTGGCTGACGTGCACTACTGCATTCTGGCGAAAAAAATTGTGAACTTGGCGAAGTCTGAACTTGATATACAAAATATTAACGTCTAGTACAAACTGAAAAATATTGAAAATCGGCTTTAAACTGTATGCCGTGCAACTGAGCGCGAAACGAAGACCCTCACGACATCAACATCAGCTTCGCTTCATTGTATCGTATATGTATTGCCATGAAAACTAAACTCTGGGCATATACGAATAATTTCCCCAGTTGATTTTATCACTTGTGCTAACTCAGTTTATATCCGTATAATTAAAAAAAACTTGTTATTGTTCAATGCTGAATTTCAAGATGGCTCGGTCTACTGGTGTAGTTCTTAAGTACATCTTGTGTCTGAAAACATCGCCCTGAATCAGTACTCGTTGAAATAAACACCAAACAGATCGTTAACTATCAATCAGTTGTTTATTGGCCAGAACAATAATAAAGACTCATGAAGGGAAAGAGGAGAGTAAAGAAAATATCCACCGACGTCACACACGAACAACTAAGGACCCGAGTTTATTAGGCACCATGATGCTGTATGTGTCGCGAGATTGCGGGAGATCTCTCCACTGTAAGAATGAGTAATCACGTGCATGACGTGAGGATCAACAGCAGTAGCACGATGGTCTCACTTGAAAGACTGGTGGATGCGAAAACCGCGATGGACGTTAGTGGGATTATCTCAACTCAAAACATGAGTTGAGATAATCCCACTAAAGGAAAGATTGTCTGCTGCACAACCTTAAATGGAACCTGTTTTTTCTCTAAAACGTGGACTTATAATTATATTTATTTTTTGGATGGATGCTGTGAGCAATCCCCGGCGGCGATATGTGTGCCACCGGATTCTCAAAACTACTTTTGGCGCATCTCGTGGCGAAAAAGTCAACACACTTGTCGGCGATCACGTCATCTTTTTTGTGCACGCTGTTAATTGCTTCTCTATATACGTCGAAATGCATGCGGCGCACTTTCTGCTACGGTCTTTTCAAAGTTAAAACGTGCAGGTAAGTCTTTGTCTGTAACGAGCAGGACAGTTCGCGGATGCTCATAAGACTGGTTGACAACATGAAAGTTGTTCGTTGAAGGTCGCAGAGTGCCTAACGGCTTTTGCCGATGAGTTGACAAAGTACAAAAATCGCTCTTATAGCCTTCGCTATAAACTCTGGCAACCCGTTACTGGCGTGACCTCAATCATGGAGGTGGCGAGAGCCTGGTCTAGCTCTTGGGGCCACCGGGGCGTCAAAGGGTCCTCATGGGGCGACCAGCGAAAATTTATTTTACTCGGCTTATATGTCAGAAAACAGCAAAAGTGTCAAATCGAAGGTGCACGACCACAGTTGCACTCGGCCCTATAAAAATTTGAGCGTCGAAAGTAATGACCAGTTTGCGAAGAAAGATGGCGGCAGTGCTATAACTTTACAGCATTTGCTAGAGGACGGCTACGTACAGCTTTAGAGGCTTTCCAGGTCAATGAATGCTGTTTTTAAAATAACCACGTCCTTTGGGGATCAAGCACTGCAACTATAAATACTGCGAAGGGTGAGTCTCTTGCGCCTTAAAACTGGCCTTAAAGTCCCTTTAAAAAGGAACTTCGTTGCATTTTTCGACCATATTGAAATAAAGCCATTTTCCATTTAACAGACGTGAAACAACCTCCGGGTACATTTTGCTGAGAGTGTCGTCAATAGTTTCAGATACGCAATAATCGATGGGTTAAAACCGAAACACGAAGCTTCTTCGCACGCGTTGGTTAAGCGATTACGTCATGAAATACCGTAAACGTCAGCAGGGCTGGCCACGGGTTAAACATATATTGCACGTGCATCTTATATGGCGCGAGAAACAAGCTAGCGATTTCATCCTACGCGGGATCAAGCTTTACCAGCCCGCCTGAACTTACCAGCAACGAGTTCAGTGATGATTGCAGCTACAATCTGAGCGCGGAAGCATCGCCTTTGGATTACGACCCACCGGCACGTGCCCTGCATCAATCGCATCGAGTTGCAGCAAAACGAACGGTGAGCAAGGTTTTTTTTTTATTTTATGCCCCAGTTACGTAACTGAGTGCCAGTGCGGTCGCTTTAACCGTTGCTTTAACTCGCACAGATGTTCCTGCGGTGATTCATTCAGGCTGCAGCCAGAGCATCCCCACTGGCATTCTCGCGGCAACGCTAGGAGCATTCAGTTCCGCGTGCGATCATTAGCTGTCTGCATTTCTAGCATATTGAGCGGAGTGATCGGAGCACACTCAAGTGATCATTATTGGGCGAACAGTTGACGCGCCGAACCGCACAAAACCACTTCTCCCGGGAGAGCGCTGTTGGAGGGAAACCCGAGTGATCACACACAGCCTTCATGTTCTTCGCTTTGTTCGTGAAACTCTCATCGTTTCTTTTGTTGTTTTTTTTTTGGCACATAATATGCAGCAAACAAACGCGAACAACGGTGATATCGCCTTCGTCACTTAAAAAAAAAAAAAAGAAAGCGTGCGCTGCATCCGTTTGCTGGGTGAGGCGCACTATAGGCAAAGAACATTGTCACGTACATAGGATGGCCCGCATTCAAATGCGCGATTCCCGAATCAGGTGCCAGTTTCAGGAAATTCGTTTTCTAAAAAAAAGTAAACGCCTTATGGTTCTATAATTTAGCACATATCATCAGGGTACAGAACGTGGCATACGTTGAAAATTTTACTGAACTTGGTGGATATTGAAAAATTACCGGAGCCCCCTTTTAAAGGGCCCCTGCATCATCTTTACCAAGTAATCCTCTTGTGGCTTCATTAAAAGCGTTTATCACGTCACGAATTGACTGCCGCGAACATTTTTAGAATCCGTTCAATACGAGCGGAGTTACGAAGATTTGTCGAACGTTGCAAGTGCTCTCTCGTTCCAACGAAAACGTTCGACGCTAATTCAGACGACGGACTGAATCCGGATGTGGCGGGACGGACGGCGCGTCACGTGACCTCACATCAGCGATTGCCCTCGTACGCGACTCGTCCGCGTGGCTCGCGGACGGATGACCGCAACCTGTTTCTCACATCGGGATTCTGATGGGAGAAAGCCGATACTTCAGCGGATTGGCTTAGGGTTTTTGGCAACCAGTACACTTTTCGTCTGCTCGCGGCATGTCCTCCATGGCTCGCGGACAGCTGCATGACAGGTCGGCCTCATCTACGTTTGAGCATGAATTACTTAGTTTTCGGGGGCTTTGTTGTCAGGTGATTAAATGCGCAGAAATCACTTTGGTGGTTCGGGAAATGTCGCCGCCGTCATTTGACACGTGAGATTCTTCGCCGTCATGGTGATGAAATATTCTAACTTCTGCAACCGGCGACGTGCCGCTTCTAAAAAAAAAAGGATGGGAGACGCGTTCCGAAGTTTTACAAGTGGAAAACAATATAATTGAAAGAACATTCTGCCAGCAACTCCCTTTTCTCCTGAAAGAAGAGCACTCCTCGTTAATTTGTCACAACGCGACAGACATCGCAGCCAAGCGTCGCTTCTTGCGGGCATCCATGTTGAATACTTTCAAACCGGCCTGCTCCCAGCGGGCGCAGCCTGCGCAGGTGAACGCCGAATCTGCTGTCGAGGGTAATCCGGTCGTTTTCCCCTAGGACACCGTCCGTCGTGTGGATGCGCCTGCAGGCGGATCATCCACGGATTAGCCGTCCGCGTCCACGACAAATCCGGATTCGGTCCGACGTCTGAATGCATAGCGTGATTGCACGGGGGAAGAAGATACGTCACGCGCTGCTCGTGACTTTATCACCTTATCCCCCCTCTCTTTTTTTTTTTTCGAATGCGTGCCTTTCAGTGCGATCGGAAGTTGCTCCGAATATTTCAAGCTGAACGGTCTGCCCCCGTGATCTCCGACGACAGTGTTGCTCCCGCCGACTGGTTCGCCCTACGCGGTCTTCTGACGCCGTGAAGCTCTCGCTGAGTGGCGCCCCGTCCTCAGACTGCCTATGGTCCCTAGATACAACAACTTGTTTCATCTAGGGACCTTAGGACTGCTTCGACCGACTCGCAACTTTCCTGTCTCCTCCTGTTTTCCGTCACTTGCCTTCACTATATCCATCTATTTTCTTCTACTTCTTTTATCCCCCCCCCCCCCGCCTAAAAGGCACTTAGCCGTGTCGCTAATGGGCAGACAGATATTAGTGCCTTGTTCCTTTCCTTCAAGAATCGCCACATACACGCGCGGGCATGCCGCGGCCTCCTGCGGCGGCCCCAGTAACTCCCGGAACGCACCATGTTCAAATCAGCCAATGGCGCGGTACTCGGGCCTGTGATGCGACAGTTTTAGAATATAAAGCATCCTTTGTCAAAAGAAGACAAAGCGATTTTGAGCAAACATTGCGAATTCATCGTAAATTACAGGCCACGGGCTGCTCTGCGATATTTTGCTCGCGTGTTCTCTGGAGCCTCGACCCCCGATCGGCAGCGTTTTCTGACCATGCTCCGAAAGCGTTGCAGGACCCCTTTAAGGGCCCTCATGCGCGTTTATCGATTTGTATATTACGATTCACAAGACGGAAAAAATGCCATTTTTTGTTGACCCCTAAGTTGCGCTTGCGTGTCGACCGCTTCAGTGAGTTCATTTTCTTTACTTTTTTAAAGACGATAGTCTTTCATGGGGACCTTCGATGCAGAAATTTTGGTCTGTCTGCTTGTCATTTGTCTGTTTGTCCACTCTAAACGGCATCGGGTACTTCAAACGGCCGACCCCATCCGCAGCACCCACCGATGATGCTCAAGGTTTAGCGCTCATACTTGTGCAATCGTCAATTAATAAGCAATTATTGTGCAAGTCTGGGGCACCATAACAACACGTATATAATCTGCATGTGCATCTTTTTTTTATGTCGAACATTGACCATTGGCGTCTTGCGTCGGAGGCGTCGACACGGTGAAGTGGTGCAATACCAGGTTCACGCCCACAACGACGCAGATTGACGTGCGTCTTCCGTTATACTTACCTTGGGTTATTATTGTCATCATCATTCGAGGATCCCCTCACACCACGCATAAGAAGCACGCCGTGGGTTAGTTGGCGCCATCTATCGACTCCCTGGGTACTTGATAACAATTGGAGACGGTGTTTGTTTGTACACTAATTGTAGTAATTAAAAGGCTCTATGCCTTCTCTATCCACATTTTTATTATTTTTTTATGCTGCCCTCTTCGGTTGTGGCTGTGCAATCATAGAATAAGAGCCTCCGAGATCAAAAGGCGCGCGGAGACATCCACAGTGTTTCGCGACGTTGCCGTTAGGGCGACGAGTCGTGGCACCGAGAAAAAAGCCGATTAGTGGTGTTGGTTTCGAATGAATACCTTAAACGTTGGCTAATCATTTATTGGTAATTAATCACCGGAGGTCACTTGAACATTACACTGAGCTAAATTTGTTGCATTCATGAAGTTATTGCATTCATGAAGGCGTGCGCGGACCCTACTGCAGCATCTCGTGACATCGCCGCTAGGAGAACGTGCTCCGGGAAAAAGGCAGATTGGTGGTGTTGGTTTCCGATAAACGCCTTAAATGTTGGCTAATTAATTATTGCTAACTTAGCACCGGAGGTGAACTGGAGAATACCCCAGTATTCTAAGTTCGTTGCATTTCCCGTTACATATACAAACGTCTTTTGTGTAGTTTTTTTTTCTTTCTCCAAGGCATGGCATGACTTAGCTGAAGTACCTTGTAACATCAGGTGACGCACACGATCACCCCAAAGCACAAAAGGAGGACTCGGGCGTTTAAAATGGATAAAAGATACTTTATTACTTTTTTTTATTTCTTGTACAAAAAAGGGAGTAAGGAAGAAGCGTGGTTACAAAACTTCGGCACATTCGCACCCAAGAGCTACTTCTCTGCTCTGCTCCAAACCTCGTATAAAATACATGTGATGCTACTACAATCAGCTGGCTGCACGAATGAAGCCTCGTATCGGTGGACCCACATTGCAATGGAAAAAAGATGCATCCTCGATGATATTGAAGAAAAAGTGGGACAAAAAAAAAAAAAACTTTTCTTCGTGCAAAAAAAAAAAGTTCCACCTCCACTCGTCACGGTAACGGCGTTACGAGAAGCGATACAAAAATAAACAAAAACAAGCACATCATAGACGTACGATGAAACGCGCATGACATGCAAGAGAAGCGGTGTGGCACGCCACAAACTGCTTTCGTCTTGCTTATGACAATGAGTTCAGTGAGAAAAGCTGCATATATAAAATACTATAGTATTACTCTCTTCAAGAAATGCAAAAAAATAAAAAAAACACGGCTCCACCGCGCGTTACGAGAAAAAAAAGATACAGTAACTTTCACACACAAACACAGCCGTACACACGCACGTACGTTGGGCTAAGCGAAAAAGAATACTGTCAAAGCGTGAATACAGACATATAAAATATCTTTGTTTGTATTTCTCGTCTAGGGCACCACGAGATCGTCGCGAAGTTCTAGAGCACACATGCGTCGAACGGCCAGCTGTAAGCTTGAAACGTTTGCGCATAGTTTAGAGTTGCTAAACACCTTTTTTTGAAGAGTTTCTTGCTGAGAAACTGCTCCAACTCAATCTTCTAGGTGAAAGTCTGTCGCTGGAACTCTAAATAGGCAAAAGAATGACAACAAAACTTTAGGCTTAGCGCTCTCTCTAAGCCTAACTATCGAGAACCGTCCTTAACAAGAGTCGAGACAAGCGTACTTTTTATCCATACGTTAGTTTGTTCCTGAACACATATTCCTTCGTAGCAGCTACCTCTACTTGTCAATCTACTTTAATGCTATCCAGCTGCTTGCTTCAAGCTTTGAACTCTGCAATGACCTTCCGCCGCTCACTGAAGATGGATGTGAAACTTCACGACCAGCTCGTGGCGTTTTGGTTGATGCGCAATATGATAAGGCACAAAAAGGGCATTTTTTTAAAATGGCAGCTTCATGTTCCTGTGAGCAAGTGTACAATGCCATACAACGTGTTGTCTTCTTTACGAGGGACGTTACTCACACAATGCTCGCCCACGCAGGCGAAATGCGCTAGAAATGTCAGTCACGGACTCGAAGAGAGCATCTCGTGAAAAGAAACCACGCGTCGGTACCTCCCTAGTTATGCCATTTAAAAGTGACGCTTAACAAAAGGAAAATACCATCAAAGCTCGATCGTTTATTCTCTGAGCTGCATTGCTAACGTCGACCCCGTGATCTTACTTTAAGTTACGCCTTTAGAGCCGGTGACGTGACACACTTGAGAAAAAAAATTAAGTTCAATTGAGGCCGTCGGTGCAATATACTTTGGGGTAGCTGGCATACAGCACAACACGTCAAGTGTCTCCCAGTGTTTCAAGCTGCAACGTCAAGTCACAAAGGCCTCTTGAGCAAGGTTAAACGAGCCCTCTTACAGCACGGGTGACACTGCAAAACTAAGCATGGGCTGAATTCCCCCGGACGTTCGCCTTTTTTTTGTAGCTTTGTTTCTCAACATACTGCCTCATTATTATCAGGGTGGTGGGTTGACAGTAGTGCAGAATTCAAATTAGCGACAGGGAGCGAAAAAAAAAACTAAAGTGGTTGTGGGGTAACGGTTTGTTGCTGGGTCAGAGGTCATGGAAGCTTGGTGGGTGGTTCGCTCGCCCCATCGCCATTGCCAAAAAAAAGGGGGTCGACGAGGGGGTGAGTGGGTCCGCCACGCCATTCTTCTTCATCTCCGACCGCGTCTCTTCCGCCGCTTGGCCCCGGCTAAAAAAAAAAAAAAGTTGGGTCCGGCAACAACGCCTCGATTGATCCGCTGGCTCGACCGCGGAGGACGGACGACGGGAGCCACGGAAAAGCGCCCGTGGCGCCGCCTCACGGGTCGTGGGCGAAGTCGTTCTTGGGGTAGACCTGCGTTCGGGTGACGCGCACGTCTCCGGCCACCTTGCCGATCGACTGGAACACCGGGTCCAGCAGGGTCCGCACAAGGCCGCCCCACACCTGCGCACGGATAGAAAGGAGTCACGCAATGAGAGTTGATCCGTAACTTCAACGAGCAACGAGATTATATGGGTTGCTTTGTGGGCTTAGGCGCATAAGTGTTCGCATGGTTCCCCTTTATTGAGCGCTAACGCCATTGTGCACTAAAAAGCATGCGGACCGCTAAAACGTGATTTTCTTTCAAGCTAAGCATTTATCTGGCATGAAACAACCGCTACAGAGTTCTAGGAACGCAATTTAAAAAATCCATGCCGCCGTCCGGCAAGCTGAAGATGCCGCCCGCGTCCAAGGACTTCGAGCGGTCACCTGAGGCACCACCATCATAATCGACGGAGAGTGGGAAGGGACAAGGGTTAATCCCCTCTTCCCCCACCTCGCGCAGTAAAACTGCCGGACTTTAATTAGAGTTTATTAATTGATTCATTCGACATATTCGCTTCAAGCAACGTAGCGTGTTTGTGTGCGAGAAGGAAAAGTGGGTGTACCGTACCCTGTGCACGACGTGCAGGAAGACATCGAGTACGCGCAACGCGGGCGTCAGCAGCCACACGTGCACGAGCGAGAGCAGGGAGAAGAGGAGTCCCCAGGTGAGGCCGCAGGGCAGCGCCAGCAGGGCCGCCAGAAGGCGGTAGCACCACAGGCGCGTGGTGGAGAACACCAGGTAGGTGAGCTTCCAGGCACCATCGAAGCCGTGGCTCGCGTCGGGCTCGGCCAGTACGTCTTCGAACACCAGCTGCAACAGAAGGGAACCAAGTTTAGTGTGCACGTGGAAACCACGGAAAGTGGCTCTAATACCACGTAAAGCACGGACAGGATAGGGCACGTTGGGGAAGAGTTTAAATGGAGGAAGTCAGGAATAACGAGAAGTTACATCCAGGGGCATAGCCAGGAAGTGGCACACCGAGCTCGTGCCCCCCCCCCCCCCCGAAATTTTTTTCACCATGACATAGAGAGCGAAAAATGACCATTTAGGAGGTTGCCCTTCCCGAAATAACGGAGGTGTCCCCCCCCCCCCCCCCCCGAAAAACTTTTTAAATGCGGCCCTGGTTAAATGGTGGGCCCTGTACTACAGGAAGGGAAAGACGGACAATAGAAGGCGAGAGATGGTTTTATCTATCTATCTATCTATCTATCTATCTATCTATCTATCTATCTATCTATCTATCTATAAACACGATGTAATGTGATCGTGCATTGCAAGGATGTGAATGCCAAGAACGGGATATTAAAGTAAGGCAACCGAGTCCGCACATGCCGACAATATGGAACGCGGTTAGCATTTCTGTTACGCCAGCCTGACCATGCGACGGCTTCCGTACGATCTGAATGGTCTCTTTTGCCCAGCAGCTCCCGTCAATCGGAAATATATCACAATGTTCAATTAGCTCCCTTATCGTAGCACAATGAAACCAAACAGCGACGTCCGCGAAATGGAGGAGGCCGGCGCCACTCCCTGCAGCATTTGACAATACGGGGAAGCTGTTGACACCCAGACAGGAGTAAAAAAGGATCCTTATTGTTCCGTCACACAATTCTCGCGCGTGCCTTTGATGTAACACTTCTTATGAAGCGCGGACACAATGTACCACCTTTATTGGCGTAATTCACGGGGTCCCCGGTCATCATCACCAACCTCCCCCGGTTTGCCACGAGGCGAAAAAAGAAGCGGCTCCCCCTTCCTGTACAATCGTCTCGGTCACGCGGGGCACGTCATCGCACCCTACAGGGCGCGAACACCCGAGAATAAATACTATAAGTCTTGGCTTCGCGAGAAAAAAAAAGGAGGGGGGAGACTGGCGTCTGTCGGGGAAAGCACCGAAAGGCGATGGCAGAAGACGACGACGCGGAAGAAATGATACCCTTTTTAAACGGAGAAAGAGAGCGAATGATCTCGAGCCAGACCGAGCTAATCGACAAGACCGGGACGACTGCCGAGTCTCCGGCTGTCCGATTGCAAATAAAAGCGATAGACGTGCTCCTTTTGCGCGCAGTCGGCGTGCTCGCTCGAATCGGCGAGCTGTAAGGGCGGCGGCGAGCCCCTTTCTTCGGTCCAAAGTGATGGCATATAGTCGCGCAGAGGGGGGGGGGGGGAGCAGAGACGACGAGCTTGGACAAAGGCGGGTCTTTCTTATGCGCGACTCGTGTATCGCTTAACAAGAACGAACGGAATTCAGGCTTCCCCCCAATGCCCTTCTTCACCCTACTGCAACTGCTTATCTGGAGCTCCAAAGGCCGCCACCACACCGCCACAACATCGCCGCTCCCTCGAGAGAGTGAGGAACGTTCAAAGGCTTCCAGCCGCCGCACGCAGTGGCACCAGCAGCCAAGCCAGCTGAGTTTCGGTTTGAAAGAAGGGGGGCCCACCTCGGGAATGCGAGGTCGGCCTCCTAAAGAACGTTTTCGAGGGCGGAAGCCGAGGCTTCTCTCTCGACGCCCTGTCTTCCGCCGTCGCAGTACGCCGTCACCATCCCCTCCCTCACCACGTGCTTGTGGAAGGCGACGTGTCTGCTGAACGTCAAGTGAGGAAGACCGCGATGACGCAAGAAAGAGAAAGCAGCATGCGCACGAGGGCGTGAAGGAGGCCCCCGCGTTTAGGAGCGGCAAGCCGACGGCTTCTAGATGTTTGGCCGCCCGTGGATGCTGAGCGTGCGTTGTTACATGGGCTGTTACATCTCTCTGTCGTTTGGCAGCAGCTAAGTGTCCAGAAAGAAAAGTCCCGAAACGAAACGTCAACGCGGGGGTTGCTTTCTCTTTGACAGGGACGATGCCGCGATGCGCCAGGAATGTTACGGCTGGTTCTACTTCCGCAGTGCGATGAATAGAGAGGCTTAAACGGAGAAGACAAGATTGATAAATTGGTATATTTGAGCGGCCGAAGATGACTGGTTCGCCTACATGCAACGTATACAAGCGCTGCTAATCTGTCGCCAAGCTAACCTCCCGAACTGTTCTGCTCAAGCAGCGATGGAAAAGAGGACACCGCACACGACGTCACAGATTTCGGAGTTTACCCACCAGTGTAAAGCGAAAACACTCCGAGATGAGTGATTGGGACATCCGCTATGCGTAGTCACACATACGTGCGGTGTGTGTAAGCGGAAGTTGGTCGGTAAAGTATGTGCCCCAAACCCTCCCTCGCGCCACACACCTTACAGCAGCTCTAAATTAACAGCCGAATTTTGTTTCACACAAGAAGCAGGTGACACTCGCATGAACCATGCTCAAACTTCCAAAGTTTGCTCAACGGTGTACACATGCTACGTCGACTCCTATCTCTCACCCTTCTTACGTCCAATGGAAAACTTACGCCTCTGCGACAGATCGTACAACTCTAGTTCACTAAAGAAACGTCAACGCAGCCACGTCACAGACGCCGCCACGATAGTTCTTGAGATGATGCATAACAAAAGCGGCGCTTTGTTTAAATCTGGCCGTATGTTCATTTTTCTCCGGTGGTCTCTTTGTATCGCTGTCCAGAAGCCGAAGCTTAATGGCACTGCGTCTCAATTTGAGTTAGAGCCAATCGGTACTCCATGATAACCTGCAAATTTTTTTTAGAAAACCGACGAATTGCGCCCGTCCATGTTTCGTATGTTGTCTAAAAAAATTTGCGCAAAGAGTAGGTACGCCGCATCAGAAAATAGAGCACCCTGTAGTCTATGTGTGCATCAGTGAAAATATTCCGTGGCCCTCGCCTCCATGGCTACTTTAGATCAGCTAAAGTAAAGATTACGATTAGAATGCTTCTTAGTGACAAAAAACAGCCCGCAGAGGAGCACGATTAGACTCGGTCAGTATGTATACCGCACGCCAGTCAAGAGCTGTAGGTCCGAACGGAGGAGACGCAGACATGTACAGACCTTGGCCTCGAACGATTGCCAGAACGCGGCCTCGGGAAACGTCAACGCCCCGGCCGGCGTCGGGCCGTACATAGATACACAAGGGGAACCCAGAACCTCCTCGAGTAAATACACAGACCTTGCACTTTCTTCCACCACGAGTATTATATAGGATCGTGTATATGTTATCTTACGTGCCATTGTCCTTTCTGGCATGGCTCGCGGGAGATTAGGCCGCCGGCGTCCCACCGTGTCGAAGTCCTTGTTGACGGCGACCCCGAGAGGCCTTTTCCTTGTCCCGTTGTATACGGTACGGTATACATGTACGTGTGTACAGTGTTGTCGGTCGGCGACAGTCTGGTCCTTTGAAAACGCGTGATGAATGCCAGGATTGGACGTTTCCGGTCGAGCAAGCGCTGGGAAGGAAGTCATGTAAACAAGCTGCAGCTCTTAAGACTGTGCACCGCAGACGCAATGTGCTGTTGGGGGCATCTGCAATCTTTACGTGTCATTTTTGCAGAGATGTGACGGCCCCACTGTCGTTTTTTTTGTTGTTGTTTTGCATTCACGGCCAGATCAAATGTTTCTGTGCTATCGCGGGGATGCCAGTGTCGAGAGTCCATAGTATTTTTACAGCACAGATGCATTTCTACGCATGGCACTACCAAATGAATCATCATATCTCTTCCGATGTGAACAGTTTCTCCAAAGCTCATACCGCGTTTAAGTTCTTCCGGTAGGGTGCTTTGGTGGGGAAGCAAGTCGTAAAGACGAAACGTCGGTAAAAATGTGTGTGGACCTGCGTTCCGCCGTCTTTTCGCGGGTCATATACTTCGGGCTTTGCGTGGCTTGTTTCAGAAACAGCTCCACGAGGCGTTGTTTACATTTTACTCCCGAGCAGATCCACTCGAAGTGCTTGTAGCCAAGTTGAACGGTCCAAGTGGGACGCTTTCGAGTCGCTGACGAGCCAAGCGTTTATCGTTATCTCCAACGATAAAGCGGTGCAGCTACACGCTCACTAGTGAAAGTACGTAGGTGACACGACATTCTCGGACAAGACAAAGTCTCGTTGTTTTCCTCCAAGTCACCAACAACGATACGACAGCCTCAGCCTATGTGTAAGATACGAAAGTATACCACTTCCCGAATTCAGGGGGCCTGTTCTGTCACGTGACCTATCGGATCTGCCGTCGAACCGGGATCGAGTATGAAGATCGCGTGGTGCTTCCGTATCAACGGTGTTACCGCCATAAAGGACAAACACTTCACGCGAGCTGCAGGTTAGACGTCCCTGTTAGGAACATATGGTGAAAACTTATGCCACCCGCCGTGGTGGTCGACTGGTTATGGCGCTTGACTGCTCAGCCGAAGGTCGCGGGTCCATGTCGGCCACAGTGGCCACTTTTGACGGAGACGACAATGCCTACATGTGCATATTCAAGAACCCCAGGTGGTTGAAATTCCCAAAGCCCTCCACTGCCATCGTTTTATTTTATTATTATTATTATTATTATTATTATTATTATTATTTTTATTATTATTGAATGCTATGGCAGCACACATCACATAAAAGTTGGATTATGTTTGCCTAATCTACATAAGATTAGGCAAACATGTCATCTTTGTTTTTTTACGTGGGCTGCCAATAGCTGTACTGACTAGAAAACTAACTAGCCCACCGGTAAGTCTTGATCAAGCTGTAACGAAAATGTTAGTGGAGATGGGAAGGAAGGAGACACATCCTTGAACGTGCATCTGAAGCACTGCACTCGAATGTTTTCTGTTCTTTTGTATTTCACAATCGTTCTACGCACGTCACGACAGCAGTGGCACACAGGACCCGTGCCCGGTGTGCGAACTTTCGCGTCCAACGGACGATTTCCGCGTGGCCGCTTCTCCGCTCTGCTAATAGTTGCTGGGCTGTTCGGCCTTCGGAGAAACCGATGTCAGGCCGTAGCTGCCAATTGCCGCCGGCATGCTTTGTGGTCGATACTGGGGAGAATGAGACGAGAGATCCTCGTGTTCCTTTCTGAGGAGCTTTTCTTCCTCGGGGAGCACGAGTTTCTGAGGCATTGGTCGTGCCCTTTCGTCAAGGTGGAACACGAAAGGATACAACTAGTTTTTCGACCGGCTTGGTGCTAAGCAGCGCCCGTTGAGTTGTTTTATATTTCATTTGTTACAAATCGTGTTTAATTGCATCTATTGTATCGTTATACCATTGTATCATGATATCGCATTTATTTCTTGTGTACATGTATGCCACCATTGTCATGTATATTAGAGCAAATGTCTTCCCTGTAATGTAGTGATCTTGGTCGTGATACATAGATGTGCCGAAGTGTATGTGCCCTGTTACTGAAATGGTATGAAGCTTTTGTGTTCTGTACATACTGTAAATAATTTTTTTCTAAGCAGGTTTGAGCCTGTGAGAGCCTCAAGAAGGACAAAGTCATTAGGCTTGACAAAACGCACACAAAATGTTTAAGGTGTAAAGAAACAAAAATTCTCAGGAAAAAAGTACTTATAAAAAGTTGACCGCACACGGTAAAACCCTCTTAATCATGAACAAAACACAAGATGAGTTAATTAACGCTGGTGAGCGGCGGAGCGGGCAAAGGTGCGAGTTCAGTCTCAGCAACCACGCAGAGGCTCGACTCTTGGAGCTGACGCGAGTCAGTTGCTTGCACCGAAGAAACAATGGCGACTGGGCGACGCGTCGATAAACCAGGGACCACCTGGCCAGGCAGCTGGACGCGCAGCCCGGACCTGTATCCCGACTGCTACTGCTCGCCTGTTCACTCTTAAGTGTGCGGGCCATAGGATGGAGTTGGCGCACAATGGCTCACGTCTTGCCACAAAGGAACACGAAGGCAGGAGGCCCCGGACGGTTGAAGTCTTCGTGGCTCGGGTCCGTAGCCCGACGGCCCATCTTCAGCGCCCGGTCCGGCGACAGCCTTCCGCTCGCCGCGTCCTCTTCGAACTCTCCTGCCCTTCGTCGGCTTAGGATCTCTCCAACTCTGGCCCACTTGTCCCGTTCTAATTGGCCATGCTGAAGTTTCGTGGTGCCCAGCCATTGGGCCCTGGAATCTCCGTGGTCGTTGGCCATTGGTTCTCTTCTATTTTGCTCACTTCGCGCCACGCGTCCTCGTGCCTGACGCTCTTCAACGTCGTCGTTCTCTTTTGAGCAGCACCGCACGTGCACTCCGCCAGGTCTTGCTGTACGCGCGCTTTCTCAAAGGCGCGCACTTCAAAAGCGCACCACACTAATCACACTCCCCACCCCCCACCCCACCCCCAAAAAAACAAATTCTGCCTACGCGCCTGCATAACAGTGAACATCTCCGTAGTCATAGACCGCAATTCAGTAAGCTAGGCCACACGGGCGCGCGCTTGTTTTGCACGGCGAAAACTGATATCAGCCTCAGCCTGCGCAAAATAGTGAAACGAAAGCGCAACAGCAGAATATGGAGCGGACACGATGCGAGCCTCCGAAAGCGTGGTTCGCACCTTCGGAAAAAAAACTAATAATAATAAACTCAAACAAAACAGAAGCGTGTTTACAGACGCTGCCGGTTGGTGCTCCCTCGGAAACGGGTTGAGCTCTTAAATTTTGCCTCGGCAGCCGGTGGTGGCGGTTGGGCGTAAACAAATGCCGCACGACCCGTCGAAGAAGAGTGCGAGGACTTTTTGAGAGGATGCATACACAAAAGGAGGATGAATGAAGGAGCTGACGGGCTTAAAAATATCTTCTTCGCAGTGGGCAGGGTGCATCGCGGAGGCAAACAAACACTCGGTCCGGTATCCGTGCAAGGGTGAGGCGCTTGCGCCAGCGATACGTCACGAACACGGCGAGCGTCGAGAATCTGTGAATTTTCAAACCGAGACAGGCTCACAAACACGTATCAGCGTTACCCCCTCTTTTTTTTTAGTTATTATCATTACGTAAGCACTTCCGCGGTTGCTGGATCCTCTATATCGTTTTCACGTAAGCACCTCTGATATTGGATTGGATTGGATAAACTTTTATTTGGTCCTCCAAAACACAGATCACTGTGTTGCGGGCAGCTCCCACGTGGGGACTGAGATGCCAAGCTCCTCAGCCGCCTCGCGGGCTTGGTGGACAGCCCAGAGATGATCTGCCAAGGACGAGCTGCAAATTGCCGCCTCCCATCTGGCAGAGGTGATGTTCGAGAAATGAGCGAATTTGGTGCACTGCCAGAGCATGTGTTCTAATGAAGCTAGTCACCCACAATGTGGACAAAGATACTGGGGTATAGGTCAGTACATGATGTGTAACATTTTCAAGTAGGTACATCCGCGTTTGCAACAGCCTTAATGTAAGTGCTTGGGGTCGAGTTACATTTTTGTGAGGAGCACCTCTGACACTGACGATGTTGTCGTCCCCCCGAAAATGAGAAGTGCATACGCGAACGATATATAGGAATACGGCGAACGTCGAGACCCCGGGGAGTGAATTTTGAACGTACAACACGCTCTCACGCATATGTTACGCGACACTTTTTTGTTTTGTAATTATTATCATTACATAAGCACCTGAGGCGCCATTGGTATCCTGGTTCTCAACAAAACACATGCGTTATGCGAACACGATATGCGAACAACTTGGCGAGCATTGAGGGCCGTGACGTGAATGCGTTCTTAGTGTACACGTCACGCACTGGCAAGAAACGTACGACAAGCTCGCAAACAAATATAACCAAGGCACGTTCGTTTTCATTATACCACGCGAGAGGCAGCAGAAACTACTAACACTTCCTGGAACGGCGTCGAGAAGTTTTTCAGCTCTCTTTGGTTTTGGTGATAAATATGGTCGAAAGCCAAGTGAGTGCACCATGGAGCGTGGGGATATCGCATATGATGTTTCCGTGAAACAAATTCGACAGCAGAAAGGCAGAGCCAAAGATTCCAGAAACAGTCTGAATAC